TAATTTGTAAAATTTGAAAAATTTGTAAAATTTGTAATTTAAGTCCTACCAAATTCCCCTGGAAGCTAATTTCTCAGACTAGAATTTGTAAAATTTGTACAATTTGTAATTTTGGGCAAGATTTTTTGATATTTTACAATTTTTACAAATTCATTTGTAAAATTTGTAAAATTTGTAATTTTGGGCCAGATTTTTTTCGTATTTTACAAATTTTACAAATGAATTTGTAAAATTTGTAAAATTTGTAAAATTTGTAATTTAATTCCTACCAAATTCCCCTGGAAGCTAATTTCTCAGACTAGAATTTGTAAAATTTGTAAAATTTGTAGTACAATTTGTAAAAATTGTAGAATTTGTAATTTAATTCCTACCAAATTTCCCTGGAAGCTAATTTCTCAGACTAGAATTTGTAAAATTTGTAATTTTGGGCCAGATTTGTTTTTTATACTTTACAAATTTTACAAATTAATTTGTAAAATTTGTAATTTTGGGCCAGATTTTTTTTGATATTTCATAATTTTTTACAAATTAATTTGTAAATTTTGTAAAATTTGTAATTTAATTCCTACCAAATTCCCCTGGAAGCTAATTTCTCGGACTAGAATTTGTAAAATTTGTTATTTTGGAGAATATTTTCTTTACCTTACAAATTAATTTGTAACATCTGCAATTTCATTCCTACCAAATTCCCCTGGAAGCAAATTTCTCAGACTAAGATTTGCAATTTTATGAAATCAATTCCTATACAAGATCTGCCTGAAAGCCAGCTCTCAGTGTGATGTTGATGCCCAGACCTCTCCCCGGCACATTATACATACTCTTCCCTCTTACCCCCCCCCCTTGAAATGGAAGGGGGGTGATTTTTCAATTCCATGTTTTTCCGGCTTGGGGGGGGTGCGGAGTGGGGAGGTCAGTGACATTGGAAACTAGAGGACGATTGGCCCCAAAGCATTTTGCCCCAGGTGCTCATCCAGCCGCGGAGACACCTTTTTACATCGCTGCGGCAAGCGTGTCTGCGCGCGCGATGCTCAATGTGTATGGTCACATGAGAGCTCCATCTCATCGTCCTACCAGAGGAAACATGGCAGTGCTCGACCCCACATATTTACATCCGTTAAACAAGAATAGTAAAGCTCGTAAAGCACGAAACGAATTACAAGCAGAAGGAAAAGCAATCAATAGCAAAGCTTACACGACGGCCACAGCTTTCTGCAAAGCACGCTCGCACAACTTAGCTCTGTGCAAGATGGCTCTGCGAACAGCTTGGCTCTGTGAAAGTTGGCTCTACGCAAGCTACTTTTCGCGGGTGGCTCTGCGCAACTGCCTCGGTGCAAGTTGGCTCTGCACGAGTCTGCTCGGCGCAATGTGCTTTGCACGAACTGCGCCGTGCGATTTCTCACGAAAGCGGTCTGCGCAAGCTACATTGTTCCAGGCTGCTGCGCGCAAGTTGCTCTCTGCAAGCTGCTGCCCGCAAGTGCTCTGTGCAAGTTGCTCTGCACAAGTGCTCTGAGCAAGTTGCTCTGCGCAAGTGCTCTGCGCCAGTTGCGCATGTGCTCTGTGCAAGTTGGTCTGTACAAGTTGCTCTGCGCAAGTGCTTTGTGCAAGTGCTCTGTGCAAGTTGCTCTGCGCAAGTTGCTCTGCGCAAGTGACTCTGCGCAAGTTGCTATGCGCAAGTGCTGCCGGAGCTGTCGGAATGTACTTTGCGTACTATTTTTGTACTTAAAAGTTGCGATTTTCCAGCCGGAGCTGCGGGAGTGTGCTCCGCGTACTACGTTTGTACTTAAAAGTTGCGATTTTCCAGCCGGAGCTGCGGGAGCACGCTCCGCACACTACGTCTGTACTTACAAGTTGCGATTTTCCAGAGGGTGCTGCAGGAGCGTAGAGTACGCTCCACGTACTACGTTTGTACTTAAAAGCTGCGATTTTCAAGCCGGAGCTGCCGCGGACCAGGGGGGAATCGAACCCGCGACCGCGGGGTTGCGAAAGCAGGCGCGCAAACCACGAGACAACTTCCAAAGGCCATTTCGCGAGCAACAAAATCGCACGGCGCCACAGCGAGAGCGCCTCGACACGCACGATCTCCGCAGAGGGTTTGCCGAGACTAAGAAGAATTCGCACGGCGCCACAGCGAGAGCTCTTCGACAGGCACGATCTCCGCAGAGGGTTCATCCACGAATGTCAAAAACGCAAAAAACCTCCAGTTTTTGCACCTCGACCACGCCGATCTCCGCAGAGGGTTGCGCGGGCACCGACAAAAACGCAAAACAACCTCGAGTTTTTGCACCTCGACCACGCCGATCTCCGCAGAGGGTCGCGCGGGAATATCAAAAAACGCAAAAAACCTCGAGTTTTTGCACCTCGACCACGCCGATCTCCGCAGAGGGTCGCATTCCCGATCGTCGGCAACATCCCCACCCCCCGCCTTAAAAGAGATTCTTAATACCGAGCTCTTTCTCTTTCTTTCCCGCGCGTTAAGTACTTAACCTAACTTACTTAACCTAGCTTGCACAGCTGCTAACGCCGAGCCTCTACACCTAGCTTAGCTTAGCTCTATGCACCTAGCTCTATGCACTTCGCTCTAAGCACCTGGCTCGATGCACTTTGCTCTTTGCACTTGGCTCTGTGCACCTCGCTCTTTGCAAGTATCTTCATGCTGGTGACTCTGTGCAAGTATCTCCATGCTTCTCCATGCTGGTAACTCTGTGCAAGTATCTCCATGCTGGTAACTCTGTGCAAGCTACTCTGTGCTAGTAACTCTGCGCGAGTATCTCCATGCTGGTATCTCCACGCTGGTGACTCTGTGCAAGCTACTCTGCGCAAGTTGACCAAGAGCTCCTGATATCTCCATGCTGGTGACTCTGCGCAAGCTACTCTGCGCAAGTTGACCAAGAGCTCCGCACGGAAGAACCCTTCGCAATGCTTTCGGGAAAAAACACTTGGGGAGGTGCTTCTTGGCTAAAAGAAATGCACCTCGGATATCCGAGTGTTCCATTTTTAGCTCA